ATTATAAAACTGTGGGTTAGGGTTTCATCCATCCTGGTGAAGAATTTGGAGGAGCCGGACTCATTGCTTACTATTCTGAGACTTTTTAGCCAGTCCTAAGAATGTGTGTGTGTGTGTGTGTGTGTGTGTGTGTGTGTGTGTGTGTGTGTGTGTTTGCTCACTGATACCTTGGCCATTTTTAGTCCAAGGAGTACTCTGGGGCAATTTATGATAAGAACAAAACAAATCAGGTTAAGGACAATAATCAGCGTTAAACCAGACAAACCTACAAAGCAGTAGAAATGCAGTGAAGACTCAACAGCAGCAGAGGGGAAAAATACTCTTTAAAATCATTGCAGAGCAGCGAAGACAAATGGTTATCTTTAAAAATAACACAGCAGCAATGTAATATAGCTACAGTTAGTCTATAATCTTATACAAATTTACCTGGTAGTAAGCTCATTGCATAAGACAGGACTTACATCTGAGTAAATATGCATAGGATTGTGCTAAATCAGTGGCGCTGTTGCTGGATTTTGCACATCATTAAAAAGGACTGAGTGGGACATGGACCAACTTGACCTCTGGGGCGGTACCCACCATGACGTTCTCCTATACAAGCTATTCTGAAATGTACATCCTATTTATTTATTTATTTGAACAGACTTGTACAGAAGAACTTCTAGGTGGATTGTGCCCCGTGTTAATTAATGGGTGCCTGTTCAGGGCAGGTTGGTTGGGATTTTGGGTCCCTAAGAGACCAAAGATATCGAGCTGGCCCTTGATACAAAGAGCAGAAAACCACTTTTTGTGAACAGAGACATTATGGTATAGTAGTTAGAATGCTGGACTAGGACCTGGGTGCAAATCCCCACTCAGTGTGAATCTCATTCTGTACTTTGGGCCAACCTCTTTCTTTCAGCATGCAGCGCTGTTGGATTTAAAAAAAAAATACAAATCTGAGAGATTTCTTTTCAGCCCAGCCAAAATTAACTCTTTTAACTTCACTTGATTTCAGGGGCAAATACTGCGTCTCTTCCAATGAGACATGAAAGAGAGTGGAAGGCATTCAGTTTCGAATCTTGTGCATATCTAGTTTTCCACACTGCAAATAGTTCTGATCCAGCTTTTTGTTTTCTTCTATTATGAGTGGAGATGCTGATCTTTGTCCTAGAGTGCTATTCTTCAGAGCCATTGTAAATTCTCACTCCTTTAAACACAAATAATATTTGCAATGGCTTTGAAGAATATACCATTGCATGAAAACAGTATGGAGATCTTATGAGATCTGATGTCCATAAACTGTCATTTAGCTCCAATGAATATAGCAGTCCTTACACAGTAACCTGTGTGCTAAATTTGTGTTTGAATTTAATTGCTTTTGAGTCTTAAACGAAATGTTTAAGGCTGCAACCTGAATACGGTGGGGACTAACTTCTAAGTAAATAGGCATAAAAGCTGGTTGTAAAGGAACGTTCTGGATCATGGGGTTAGTTTAATATATTTCATTCATCAGCCCCAATCACAGGGTTGCAAACACAGGGTTTCAGCTGCCAAAATAAGCAGGTGCATCTTTTTCTTGGCACAAAGAGGATCACTCACTAACTGCTGCCTATCAAACTCCTGTTTAAGGAGTTCAACCTACACTGAGATCATTAGATAATATTTGCAAGAGTGACCTCTTGCCCTTTAGATAGTGTGATGTGATCGGGGCAACTTCAGATGGACTTTCACCAGCAGGATTTTAATTCACAATTAGTCATGGCTAGGTTTGGGTGCATTGTGGCACACAATTTTTGCATTCTGATATGTTTTGTATTTTTAAGCAGGTTTCTAGTCCTCAAATTCAGAAAACCAGAGCAAGAGGGAAGACTGGGTGGGAGCATTTTCACTGGTCATGAAATGATGGGCTGACACACCCTTTTGTGTTCCTTCGTCAGGCCTTTTATAATGATTTGTCCCTTCTGCTCCCTTCCTGTCACATACTCTCCCTCTACAGCAAGGAATCCAAAGATCAGTTCCTGGGATTCTAACTTTTGATATCAAACACTTCCTGATTCATTGTATTCATTTCAATAGGAGTAGGGCATAGGCACCAATACTGACAGCACTTTCAAGAGGCTTAAGTTTAGCTGGGTTGTGCTCAAAGGATGCTCTACACAAAACAATGTCATCAGAATGGTCGTGTTTTAGCAGACCTGCCTTTTTGCCCAGAACTACCTTTTTGCCATTTAAATCCAGTGCTGTCCGTCCTACCAGCAATAGGTTAGGGTGTTTGATAGTTGTCAGCTTCCAAAAGGTGGCGTGTTGTTTCACATCACCCATCTCCCAAGTAATGGAAAGTTCAAGGATGCATTGTCCACAACGTTTTCCTTGGAGGAAAGCATTCTAGAAACTGGCTCAGTTCAGACACTGTGCAAAGCCGTGGTTTAATTAAACTAAGTTCAGTTTGCATCATTGTCTGAATGCAGGCTACTTCACTAGATATGGTTGAACTGTCAAGCCAGGATCTGAAGCCAGGAGTTGAAGTCAGTTTATTAACCACAGTTAACTAAAGTTTCATGTGATGACTCAGTGCAGACATGCTGGTGAATCATGGTGCAGTCACGGCTTGCTCTGACTTCTACCCCCCAGGGCTAGCAAGAGAAGGCAATGAAACCAGAATTTGTTGAGCTACATCCTAGTTTTGCTAATTTGCCATAGTTAAAATAAACCATGGCTTGAAACCATGATTTATTTTAAGCAAACTTTGATTGGTGTGACTGTTCAAATGCAGTGTCTTCACAAACAGTGGTTAGCCTGAAGCCATCAAACCAGAATGTGAAATCATGCTTTGAAATTGGTTTATTGATCACAGTCTTAACAATGGTTTGGCAAGATGTACCAATGTGGGCGCTCTGTCTTCATCCTGGCTTATACCCTGGCACTTTGCAAGCCAGGATACCAGCTGGGTCCATGAGGAAGGAGGAAAGCAAAGGCAATAAAGACCACCATTGGTGAAGGCAAAGCCAAATCCTAGTTTCTAAACCATGGTTTCATATTGTTTTTGAACCAAACCACTGGATCTCTTTGAAATAAGGTTTAAAAAATTAGATGTACTTGTTGAGCTGCTATTTAAGAGATGCACAGCATTGAAAGACACCGTTAACAAAGTCCCATTATAAGATCAGTTCTCCACCCCATCTATCCAACCATCCAAGGTTTGGAGCTGCTTATTCTAAAGCTAGAGAAAATTGACATAGGTAGCGATCACACGCACAAATAGCCGCACCATAGGAACGAATGCCAGGTGGATTTAAAGGGTGCAATCAGATGCAAACATCTGCCCTGCGTCCTGCACCCATCAGCAACCCATTTTGTTCCGTCACAGAAGCGGACTAAAAAGACACTGGGGAAAGTCCAGTAGCAAACAGGTTGCTACAGGCCACAGACGGACTTTCCCTTGTGTGCTCGCTCCAGTGCGCTCTCATGGCGTCTCCGTGCCATTGTTTTTTTCCCCTTCTCAGTATGTGCATCATCGCATACTGTCATAGGAAGCCCTCAGTGTGAATGCATATTTAGTAATTGTAATTAGTTTGGTGTAGTGGTTAAGTGCGCGGACTCTAATCTGGGAGAACCGGGGTTGATTCCCCACTCCTCCACTTGCACCTGGCTGGATGACCTTGGGCAAGCTGTAGTTCTGATAAGAGCTGTTCTTGAAAAAGAGCTGTTTCTGTCAGAGCTCTCTCAGCCCCACCTACCTCACAAGGTGTCTGTTGTGGGGAGGGGAAGGGAAAGGAGTTTGTAAGCCGCTCTGAGACTCCTTTGGGTAGTGAAGGGTGGAGTATAAATCCAATCTCTTCTCTTCTCTTCTCTTCTTCTTCCTCTTCTTCCCCTTTAGAACCACCTCAGCTAGTGGCTAGAGCCAGTTTGGTGTAGTTGTTAAGAACAGCAGACTTTTAATCTGGAGAATCGGGTTTGATTCCCCACTCTTCCACATGCAGCCAGCTGGGTGACCTTGGGTCAGTATCACCATTCTCTCAGAGCTGTTCTCTCAAGAGCAGTTCTCTCAGAGCACTCTAAGCCCCACCAGGGTGTCTGTTGTAGGGAGAGGAAGGGAAGGAGATTGTAAGCCACTCTGAGACTCCAAGTGAAGGGCGGGATATAAATCCAACTCTTCTTCTTCTTTTATTACCATGACTTCAAACAAAATGGTTTAATCCGATCATGATAATCCTATCATGACAGATTCAGGTGGATAGCCATGTTGGTATGAAGCAGCAGAATAAAGTTTGAGGCCAATGGCACCTTTAAGACCAACCAAGTTTTATTCAGGGTATAAGCTTTCATGTGCTCACACACTTCTTCAGATACAACAAAGTGGAAATTACCAGTCCATACCAGTCCATTATTGTTGACCCTCTTACCTGTATGTATGGACTGGTAATTTCCATTTCATTGTGTCTGAAGGCATGTGCATGCACACAAAAGCTTATACCTTGAATAAAACTTGGTTGGTATTAAAGGTTCCGTTGGACTCAAACTTTGTTCAGCTTTTTGGTTTGTTCTTATCAACAGCCAGGCAAAGGCTGTAGGCTCATTCACATGTGGAAGTGGTCTTAGCCACTCCTCTGCCCTTCCCCCTCTACTATGGAGCTGTCCCTTCTTCTGCCCTTCTTGCCAGCTGGTGCCCGCTATGGTGACTGTAGTGGTGGTGGCCCATTTTAAATACACTACGCAGCCGCATTTTGACCCCCATCTCCCCCCATTCCCCCTGCATCTTCTTACTGTTTTTTTTTAGATCGAGAAGATGTGGGGGGAATCGGGGGGGAGATGCGGGTCAAAATGCAGCTGTACAGCGAATAGTGTGAAATTGACCAATGCAACCAGGGCAAATGGAAGAGCGAGGGTGGCACACCTGACATCACTCAGGAGGTTTTATAGTTTTCGGCTTCCAAAAAAAACAGGACATTGTTTCACATTCCCCTCTACCTTGGCCGTAGCAGATTCACACAGCTAACCCTCTCCAATCTTCCTTACAGGTGGGGACGACTCCCCTCCCATAGTGAACCTCTTCCCTCCATCTAAAGAGGAGATTACAAGCAAAAGCAAAGCCACCCTGGTATGTTTGGTGCAAGACTTCAATCCAGGCGACGCCCAGGTCACCTGGGAGGCTGACGGGGCCGCTGTCTCAAATGGGGTGGAGACGACCAAACCAACTAAGCACAACAACAAGTACATGCTCAGCAGTTACCTGACTGTGACTCCCTCAGACTGGGAAAGGCATGAGAGGTACACCTGCAAGGTGACGCACAAAGGGTCCAACTATGAGAAGAGTGTGAGCCATTCGCAATGTCCTTAACCCTCTCCTGCCCACAGAGCTTTGCTGCATCTGGATCCCAGCTGCGTAAGGAGGAAAACTTCAGATGGGCCATGCGACAGGCTCTTTATGCCCCCCACCTACCCCACTTTTTCTACTGTACCACCCACAATTTTCACACACTTTCCCTATTTCCCCCAGCTTCATAAGCATCCTTGTAGTTTTAATGAATAATAAAACCAGAATCATGCGATTTTTGCTGTCTCTGTATAAAATCTCTCGAGTGGCAATTTTAAAAAAAAATTGTTAATTGACATCTGTCAGTCAATAAAAAAGACAATGCTTGATCATGTCACGTTTGTACGCTAAAATCATTTCTCCTTCACCGACACTAATCGGGGGAGGGGATGGGTAAGCAAATGGTTCACATGGTTTCCTTTCTGTTTGAAAATATCATGTGGAAACTGGCTTTTTCTTGGAGAACCTGTTAAATCAGATTTCATAAGAGACTTTGAGGATGAAGATATTTCAGTGTGGGCTTTCAGCAGAAGTGTACTTGAGGCAGTGCACAATAACAGGGAAATCACCATTTCAAACAATCACATCAGCTGAAAGAGAGCCTCCAGCAATTTAAACAGCCACACGGCACAGTAAATTGCAACCAGAGGGCATCAAAACAAAAGGAAATGTCCAGGCAAATAAAAGTGTCTTCATTTGGAATCTAAAACTCAAAAGGGTAGGCACCATCTGAACAGGTGCAAGGAGAAATGTCTGTAGATGGTACCACCACCAAAAAGACCCTGTTCCTGGTGGCCTTCCACCTTACTTCAAGAAGTGGGGGCAATGGATTTCTGGCCATTAGGTTTTGGACAACAGGTAAAGCTTTGGGGATGGGACGATAAAGAAGAGTCCATTGCTATACACACAAGATCGCACATTTGTGTTCTGCATTAATTAAATGTGAACCTACTTACCAGTTCTGTATTCAAAAAACAGTAGGATCCCTAAAAGGTACCTTACAAAGGTACACTGTCATTTATCTCATTTGTTTAATTATAAAATTGACATTTATTTCTTTGTGTCCCCTCTTCCTCCAAGGAGAGTTACGATTTATTTAAAAACAACTATAACAGCTCCCAATGCCATATGTGAATTATGTGCTGTCTGAAAAAGTAAACTTTTTCTCCTGTCCTGAATCAATTTAATTGGGTATCCCTATGAGAGATGGAGCAGCATTTCCCTCTCTCCACTTTCTCTGCACAAGGCGTGGTCAAAACCATCCCACAATTGATAAATCGGATTAATGCATCACCTCTAAGGATTAATCCTGCAAAGATAACTCTGTCCAAATTTGGGGGTACTGAAATAGACAATGCAGTCATTGAATGATGGCTCCCCAATGTTACCTGTTAATGGGAGAATTCTAACCTACTGCACAGGGTTGTTGTGAGAATAAAATGGAGGAGAAGAGAAGGATATAAGCCATTGGGGAGGAAAGTGGTATATAAATTAAAAAATGAATAAATAACACAACCCAAAACTGAAAGCCTTTTGCAAGCAAACCAAAGCAGGTCTGCTCAGAATCCTACTCATGTTTTTTTTAATGGGGCTTACTCCCAGGAAAATGGTCTTAAGATGCCATTGTCACTGTTCCTGAACTGACCACTGCTTCCTCATACCTGATTCCATTCCTACCTAAGGCCTCAACAGAGAGTATCAATAAGAAGCTAGGAAATGGCATTATGGTAGCTATATGTCCCATGCCATACTGTATGCATCCACAGCCATAGATCCTGTGTTATGTCCTGGAAAATGGGTAGAATCCACCTGTGCTAAGAAGTAGTGGGAGATGATAGTCAGGACCTGTTGTGTTCCTTACGCCAGAACTTCACATTTCCCCAAATTATATAGTTTTCATCTCCAAGAAGGAATATGCCACATAAACCTGGCAGTTCTTTTTCATAGGGAAAAAAAATGGTACAGGAAATGTTATCATTTAACTACCCTGCAAACATTAACTTCCCTATGTCTGTGAAATAAACATGACAGAATCTGGATGAGGGGTCAGACAGTAATTTTTATTTTATTAAAAAAGTTTCCTTTGCCTTTTCATAAGGCTTTAGTCACCTGGAGCCCACAGAACTATGGGAAGTCCACTCACATACACCTTGAGCACTTCATTGCAATGGTCATATTGTGTTCAGAACAGCTGGTAGGAAGAGCAAAGAAAAGTTGGTCGGGATGGGGTGAAACCGCCAGCTCCTGGAGATTTGGGCATGGACCTTGGGGAGCCTGGGCTTCAGGGAGGAACCTCAGCAGGGCATAATGCCATAGAGTCCTTCCTCCAAAGCAGCCATTTTCTCCAGGGGAACTGAGCTCTGTAGTGTGGAGATCAACTGTAAATATGGGAGGTAACCAGGCCCCATCTAGAGGCTGACACTGCTACAATGGGGAGTTCAGGAACATGCAACTGGGGACACTTAAGATCATAAGAACCATAAGAAGTGCTCTGCAGGATCAGACCCGTGGTCCCTCTAGTCTGGTATCCCGTTTCACACAGGCAAACTAGTTGCCCTGGAGGGCCAACAAACAAGTCACAGAGGTCAACAATATTCCCTGAAGTTGCCTCCTCCCACTGGTTTGCAGAGATTAGCTGTCCCTGTACATGGAGATTCCCTTGACTCACCATGGCGAGTCACCACTGACAGACCTCCCCTTCCTGGCTAACCTCCACATAGAAGAATCTGGAGGCTGTATAAAGACAGTCATGGAGAAAACAGGAGAAGCCAGTCTCTACAGAAGCCACAGAGACAGTCCGTCCTGCAGAAGCATATGTTCCTAAGAAAGAATCCGTAGACACAGTGCAGATTCTTAATCTCCCCTGAGATCCTGAAAAAGCGTAAGCCTGGAAGCATATATGTCAATCTGAATTCCATGCTAGGCTAGGAGAAAGCTAATGGTACCTTGTCCAGAGACAGTCAGACATACCACTACCACACAGACAAACTGATCACTTCAGACCTACCAGCATCTGAATGAGGAAGTTCACCTGTATAGTCCAAGGAATGGTTCAGTGCTTTGGGTTCAATGTCTAAGAAACTATCTGAGCAGAGAAAAAGCTTTACTGCCTGCACATTCACTGGTGTGGTTTCTTGTCAGAAACATATTCTGTATCCACTAGCTAGAATGAGCCATTGGAAAATCTGTGGTTATGCTACACTTCACATGCTATGATGATCCACTTCCCATGCTAGGATTTCATCCAGCATGGTGCCGCCAGTAAAAATGGATGTCGAGCAATGGGATGTAGTAAACAATGAGAGGCTGAATCTGCAAGCAACTTTAGAACATAGCTGGTCTTTGGGACAATCTCCATGGAGAAGCACAACCACAGGGATGTGTGTGGAGTAGTTAGCCCATCAATACCAAGACAATCCCCCCCAAAATGGAAAGTTTTTTCTCGATTCTCGGGAAAATGGGCTCAGAATGACCATGCCAATTCCTGATGCAGCTGGATCAGAATCATTTAAGAATGTGCCGCTTGACATTCTTAGGAACAGCTAACAGGACTTTCATCTTCTGGCCCCAGAGAATAAGTATATCATTTTTAAAAATTCCATTCACTACAGTTTCTTCAGAAATAGAAAATGATTCCAGTTGTCACATTGATGTCTCACTTGTCCAGAGACAATCAGTAAGACCACTGCAGAGCAGTCCAACCGATCAGTTCAGACCTACCAGCTTCTGATTGAGGAAGTTCACCTTTACAGTCCAAGGAATGCTCCAGTGCTTTGGGTTTAATGTCGAAGAAACTATCTGAGCAGAGAAAAAAGCTTTACTGCCTGCACATTCACTGGTGTGGTTTCTTGACAGAAACATATTCTGTATCCACTAGCCTGGATGAGCCATTGGTACAAAACCTGTGACTATGCTGCACTTCTCATGCTATGATGCTCCATTTCCCATGCTAGGATTTCATCCAGCATGGTGCCGCCAGTAAAAATGGATGTCGAGCAATGGGATGTAGTAAACAATGAGAGGCTGAATCTGCAAGCAACTTTAGAACATAGCTGGTCTTTGGGACAATCTCCATGGAGAAGCACAACCACAGGGATGTGTGTGGAGTAGTTAGCCCATCAATACCAAGACAATCCCCCCCAAAATGGAAAGTTTTTTCTCGATTCTCGGGAAAATGGGCTCAGAATGACCATGCCAATTCCTGATGCAGCTGGATCAGAATCATTTAAGAATGTGCCGCTTGACATTCTTAGGAACAGCTAACAGGACTTTCATCTTCTAGCCCCAGCGCATAAGTATATCATTTTTAAGTATATCATTTTTAAAAATTCCATTCACTACAGCTTCTTCAGAAATAGAAAATGATTCCAGTTGTCACATTGATGTCTCACTTGTCCAGAGACAATCAGTAAGACCACTGCAGAGCAGTCCAACCGATCAGTTCAGACCTACCAGCTTCTGATTGAGGAAGTTCACCTTTACAGTCCAAGGAATGCTCCAGTGCTTTGGGTTTAATGTCTAAGAAACTATCTGAGCAGAGAAAAAGCTTTACTGCCTGCACATTCACTGGTGTGGTTTCTTGTCAGAAACATATTCTGTATCCACTAGCTAGAATGAGCCATTGGAAAATCTGTGGTTATGCTACACTTCACATGCTATGATGATCCACTTCCCATGCTAGGATTTCATCCAGCATGGTGCCGCCAGTAAAAATGGATGTCGAGCAATGGGATGTAGTAAACAATGAGAGGCTGAATCTGCAAGCAACTTTAGAACATAGCTGGTCTTTGGGACAATCTCCATGGAGAAGCACAACCACAGGGATGTGTGTGGAGTAGTTAGCCCATCAATACCAAGACAATCCCCCCCAAAATGGAAAGTTTTTTCTCGATTCTCGGGAAAATGGGCTCAGAATGACCATGCCAATTCCTGATGCAGCTGGATCAGAATCATTTAAGAATGTGCCGCTTGACATTCTTAGGAACAGCTAACAGGACTTTCATCTTCTAGCCCCAGCGCATAAGTATATCATTTTTAAGTATATCATTTTTAAAAATTCCATTCACTACAGCTTCTTCAGAAATAGAAAATGATTCCAGTTGTCACATTGATGTCTCACTTGTCCAGAGACAATCAGTAAGACCACTGCAGAGCAGTCCAACCGATCAGTTCAGACCTACCAGCTTCTGATTGAGGAAGTTCACCTTTACAGTCCAAGGAATGCTCCAGTGCTTTGGGTTTAATGTCTAAGAAACTATCTGAGCAGAGAAAAAGCTTTACTGCC